GAGGCGGCGGAGGGAGAAGCCGCCCTGGGGGAGTTTAGGGATTGAAGAAAATCGACAATAATGGAGCGCTGGGTGGGCGTAAACTTGCCGTACCAGATGAGGTTGACGGTGATTTTACCCTTGAGAAGAATACCGTTATGGTATTGGAGGACCAGGGGTTGCTGTTGGACCAAGGCCGCGGAAGCCGGTTCAGATATGAGAGTGGATAAGAAGATGGTACTAGCCAAGAACAGAAGAGTACCACAAGTAGTAGAAGAAGAAGCCATTGTTGTACTGCTATTCTTGATATTATTATTATTTTTGTGTTTTTTTGGGACAGAGTTAAGAAAGAAGGCTCTGCTGCGGGTTTGAGAGGAGGATGTAGCAGCTTATATATAGAGGCCCGAAGACAGGAAGGACAGCTGTAGAAGCGAAGAAGATGTCAACTGGGGAGGGATGCAAGGTGGAGGCAGGGAATTGGGCAGAGGGGAGTTCGGCCAGGCTGGAAGCTGGAGACGGATGACGTGGGAGTCTAGAGTGGGGTTTGATCTGACGTGGTGGAGAGATGGGGAATGCAATTGAGAGAGAAGGGGTGGTGTTGACGTGTGCATGCCATTACACTTGGACTGATATTTTTGTAGTATTTTGTTTTACTCCTCCTACGCTACCTACTAAAAAAAAAACACGCACGCAGCAGAGAAACAGGACCCTGGCTGCCCGAACAGGAATCAGAAGGAAAGGACTTTGATGCCCCATCTCATCCAAATCCATTCCTCTACGCTTTCCCTCCCTCTCTCTCTCTTCATTGCCACGCTCAACAGCTGTCTGTAAAACGCTGATGGGGTGCAAAGCTTTCATGCCTTCTGGATTGGCATTTATTGGTAGCAGTAACATCTACCTTTTGATTTTGAAATATCATGTGTTTGGATAATAATCCTTGTTAGGGGGCAGGGGGCTTGGGGTCCTAGTTAGGTCTTAGCAGCAGGGCACCCTGTGGGGTTTCTATCCCACATCGATTGGGGGGGATTTGGGTGTTGGGTTTATAAGTCTCCTCAGTACCCTCACTAGTTACCATGGCTTTTGAGGTGTACTGTGGACTAAGGGTTGTAAAGTCAATAGTCGGGTTTCTACCAACTGACAAAAAAAAAAGATAATAATCCTTGTTTGGTTGCAATTTTTTTCAAAATACTTTTATATTTTCTGTAAACATATTTTTCTGTTATTTTTTTACCTTATATTTATCAAATCGTTACAGTATATTTTTCTATAAAAAAAAAAAAAAGCTTCATTCATATTATAAACCTATTTTCGAATCATTTTTTTTGTTCAACATGTTGGTAATAATTTGTAATGAGAAAATTGAAATTTATTGTCCCACATTGAAAGAGGGCGTCTTGGACCTTGGGGCTTTCTGATTAGGGTAGGGTGTTAATTAACTGTTTAAATTATGTTTTCACAGCTGCTCCATTTGTACCTTGGAACTAGAGGTGTCAAAATGGGTGACTTTGGTGGGTTTGGGTTGGGTAAAATGGGTAATGGGTATAAGTGAGTCAACTCATTTATATCCATTTAATTAGATGGGTATAAATGGGTAAGTCAAAAAATGAATTGGGTAACCCAATTACCCATTTATAACTCATTTATTTTAACTTTTTGCAAACTCATTTAAATTCATTTTTGCAAACTAAGTTATCAATTTATACCACTCTTTGTACCCATCATTAGTTATAAATATTTACTTATAATGTTCAATAAACTTAATTACCAATTTTTTTCATTTATACTCTATGTCACAAAATTACCTATTATTTAATAATTGAATAATACGAATATAAAATTTTGAATTAAGTACTATAAAAATTAATATAAAAACTTAATCCAAAAATTTTGAACCCCTAACATTTTTTTCATATATAAATTTAAATTTTCATTTTATAAAGATAAGAAAATAGGCTAAAATTTATCATAAATTGGTAATGCTAAATAATGAGCAAGTTAACAAACTAAGAAAAAAAGTAAAATAATAAGATAAAACCAACAAATAATAATAATAATAATAATAATGTTAACATCATGACAAAATGAAAAATTTGGAAAAAAAAAGGTAGGGGAAAAGAAGAGACTTGGGGGGAAGAGAATTTTAAATCGGTTAATTGGGTTTGATGGGTTACCCAATAATACCCATTTAATAAATGGGTATTATTGGGTAACCCATTTATACCCATATACAAGAATTTAAGATACCCATACCCATCTATTCATGGACGGGTATGGATAAATCTAGTTAAGTGGGTTGATTTGCCGTCTCTACTTGGAACCATTTAGCAGTCGTGGCCCGTGATTATAAACTAGTCACAAATGGAAGCAAACATGATGAATGAAAGCAAGTAGGATCACTAGATTCTTTGGTGATGTGGCATCTATCACATTAAGACCGAGCGCATATTTCAAACTAATTGCCAACAATTTTAGGGCTCACCTACATTTATGCCTCTGTATTCTCGCACTCTATCTTGTGTGTTGCCACTCAACATTCATAGGCATGAATTGAATATCTTTTTTTTTTTTTTGCTTATTGAATAGTCAAATAATGGTTAAAATTTTTTGAATAGTGAACAATTACATATCACGCGAGTCTTAATGATTAATATATATATATACACATTTTACTGACAAGTAACAATTCATGTGAAACTTAACTTGAATTTTAAATTCAAATTTTACACATGCATTATGTACTCATGCCTTTTGATATGTACGCCGTCAAAGTGTACATATTCAGTACTTTAATATTGATCTATACAAAATTTTCAAGAGTTGGTATATTGTATTTAAAATAGATAAATGTAAATGTCACTTCATTTGTTTATAGCAGCACTCCTATTGTCTTTTTTATTATACAATTTTCATTTCTAAGAATACATATTCATAAAAAAGGATAGTCGTCGAACACCACTATAAAAAAAAAAATAAAAAAGGGTGAGACATGATTTGTATATTTTCACTTCAGCCATTAACATTTTTTTTATTAAAATACTAATAAACACCACGATTTGTTTGATAGGGGCGTCCGTTTCGTGTTTTCTTCAACTTCTAATTTGTAAAGGGCAGCCCCAGCAATGTATTTATGTATGGCCCCATCAGCATCCCCTCCCCGCTCTAGTCCTTAGTGGTACCACTACGACTAGTGAAATTCGGATTTTTCTCCCCAGTCTTTTAATTGTCAATTTAACTTGCGAGACACACGACCAATAAAGTTCCTTAATTCAAACAGTAGCACGATGCTGGTTCTTGTACGTATCCATCCAGAAATTCAAAAGAAAATCGGGACCACTGGGAAAGAAAGGGTACATGTCCTTATTTTGAGTTGGTAGAGGGCTATCTAAGATTCTATAGGGCAAAAGGGTAGAGGGCTGCACGAAGCTGGCGTTTGGTAATTGGAGGGCATTGGTGGGGATGGACCCGAATGTGGAGTCCACCGGCGGTGACTTGCTTTTAGGTGGCAGTGGTACAGAATTTGATGCTAAATTGCTAATAGTAGTGTTCTTTTTAGGGCCTGTTTCATTACACACACTAATTTATTCATTCATATACCAATGCCACTACTAAGCAGGTCGCATGATCGGTCCAGAACTTCCAATAAAATGACTTGGCTTTTTTATGCTGACTCTCCCTTCGCAAAGGGCAGACTGAGCGGGCGGGGGGGGGGTCCCGGCTCGTTTCTTGGTTGGTTCGTTTTCTCGAATCTAGGCGTCTGAGTTCTTCGGTTGTTGGATTTCGTGACCTTACGTCACTCTCTCTATCCACTCTACATTATTGTTTTAAAATTAAAAAAAAAAACAATTATACATTATTGTTAGTTTAAGGAACGATTGAAGCACAAAGAAACGTAAATAACCGAAGTGGATGCCGCGGACGGAGTTTGTTTGGATGATTTATTTGAGATAATTACTGTAGCATTTTTTATGATGTGATGTATGCGAGATAAAAAGATGGTTAGAATGATGAAATGGTGGTTGAAATTTATGAAATAAATTATTTTATTTCAAATGGCTATTAATTTTGGGGTTTTGGTGTTGGCCGGTTGGGTGGTTTTATCGGTGGCGGTGTTCAGGTGGGTTCACCAGAGTCGTCGGAGAGTGGACCAAAGGTATTTACTTACTAGTGCTAGTAAAAAGAGCTAATGATGGCGTATTGAGATTTTTTACCGGTAAATGCAACGCAGCTGCTCGAAAAAGGCGACGGTGCCGACTTTGTGTTTCTCGTTTCAATGCTTTGTTTGATTTGGACGTTTTCGTCGCGTTAAATGTAAACTGGAATTTGGATGAAACTTGGAAATGCAACCATAATACTTAGTGGAAAGGAAGGAAATGGACTGAGTTAAAAAAATATATATAACAGCTTTCTCCATTAACACATTTCTCTAAATCCTAACAGCTTTGTTTGGATTCTAAATTTTTTAGAATTTTTATTAAAAAAATATATAACAATAATGATGTGATGTGATATATGTAAAATAAAAATTTATTAAAATAATTTTAATAAAAACTAACCATCTAAACGAGCAATAAATTTATCGATGCCATACGAATGCATGAATCACTCAAACGCAACATGTTCAAATCATTCAATTTCTCTCTTCAAACGACTGGGAAATTTAGGTAAAATTTCAAACTCGTCGCGGTCATACTAATTAGATTTTTGCTACCCTCGTGCGCTCGATTGATTATTCAATTCTGAACAATATTCATCTAGAAACTTTCTTAATCCATGCTCTTCAAAATTATTAAGCTTGACAAAGTTCAGCACAAAACGGGTTGTGTTTGTTCCCAACGCCTATACTTTTATTATTTCTACTCAAAAAATGCCAAAAAAAAAAAAAAGAGGAGGAGAAGCGTAACATATTTTCCAACCTTTCTCGTGATTGCATGACATATTTTCATTTTTTTTTAATTTTTACTTAAACAGTATACCACAAATTCTGTTTGACCATTTGATTTAGGAACATTGGGCTTTCTTGCTGGTAAAAGGTGAACAATGTACAAACTTTTGAAGTGGCATGTTTGAATGCGTGTGAATAAAGCCGGATGGAGGTAGGAGGCACGAAAAGCATTTCATTATATACAGTGGTGTATACTCCCAAAGTCCACAGACTTGGCTTGTAATTGTCGCCCTTCAAAATTCGACCATGAAAAAAAAATCACGTGTCCGTGTGCGTGTGGAGGTGGTGAAGTGAGACGTCGTCGGCAATCTGGGGCTGGTCAAATTTGGACGAATCAAACTTATCTAATCACCTTTGCACCAGTCCAACATCAACCCCCCGGTGGCCGGTGGGGGCCCCTATTAGTATTATGATTTGGCGTTGTTCTTCTTCTTTTGACTTAAATGCTGAGCCCATCTGGTTCTGATCTCACCGGTGATTAAACTAGCAGCAGCCACGTGTAAAACTAAACACCCCCTCCTTAAGGCTCAGCCTTCCTGGCTAGCTAGTATCTCTGCATTGCATGCTCTGCCAATCTGCTGCTACAATTTGCAGCAGGGGATAAGATAAGCTTCAGCTTCAAGTTCTGTGCTAAAAGTATGTAATGGGAATCAAGAATTAATTGACGAAGAAGCACTGCTTCTTTTTTTTGCCAAAATGTATCAGCTAAACAGGCTTGTGATTGCTGACAAAAAGGCAAATTTTGCTGCCTCCCAATATCAGTAGCTTTGACATTTTACTGACTTACTTTTAGTTCTGTGGTCCAACTCCAATCAATTATTGTCCACCCAAAAACTTAGCGGTGTTTGGCCTGCAATTTTGTGTAAGAATAAATCATTTTACATGTGTTTTGTGAACGTATTTTTTAATATTCTTTTAATTTCACTTCGCCAGCCACTCGGATACCTTTTTTTTTTGACATAAAAATTTCAAAAAATGATAATCCTTTGACACTTGTGTCTCTATGACATATATTGTGAAACTTGTAACGCATTTCTCTTTTTTGTCGAGCACCGTAGATTCTTGACAGTTTATACTATCCTTAATCCCGAACAACCTTCAAAAGTCGACAATTTTTAAAAGAGTGAATAGCCCAAAAGATCACTAAATTATTAAAAATGGCATCCTTTGGTCACCAAACTCTTTTTATGGCCGAAAAGATCACTAAACTCGGAAAAACTCTCCAGCGGAGTCATTTTACCGAATTTCAGCGGTTTCTCATCCGGTTACAAGGGTCTTGAATTGAATAAATATTCTGATATGGGCAAAAATGTCCAAAAGATTATTGGGGCAAGTGAACTCACAGACTGTTTCGTTCCCAAAGTTGACCAATCAACCGACATTCACTTCGTCTTCTCTGGTGAAGTTTACTGGCTGTAAACACTCCGAGTCGGACTCCGATTCCATGTTCACAATTCGAAGACCGCCGACCATTGACGGAAGAGAAGCAACCCCATTGCATTCGGCCTGTGCACCTAAAACTAATTTGGGTTCTTCGTCCAGACAAGTACACCCGGATTCAGAATTACACAGTCCATGGTCGGGGATACCATGGTGGGTCGCGAATAAATCCTTAACGAAATTCATTTGATCATCGTCGTCGTCGTCGTCTTCTGGGCTGTAGTAGAGGAAATTCTGGTCGGAGTGCACAGATTCAGAATGCTAAGAGCCGGATTCGGATTCTGAAATGGCGGTGAAATTGAGGTTGTCATCAATCAAGAAGGAAGGATTAGGAGGAGAGAGGGAAATTACAGTCTCTATTTTTATCGCCGGAGAAGATGAAGTCAATCTAGGGGTTCAATTCTGAGGGGCGAGACGAGCTCTGTTCTTTCCAGTTATCCGATTCCAGAAGATGAGAGAGAATTGGGTCAATTACGTTTCTTAAGCTTAGATGGCTGAGATCCCATAAACTCCCAAAGGTCGGATGCCAAACATGGCCTCATCACGATTTTCCGGCCAGATCTTCTATCAAATCTGTGATGAATACACAGAGTGGGTGATGGGATGTCCCGCTAACTGCACGTAAACTTCTTGCTTCTAGTTGTTCCGGTCAGTCTTGCCGGTGCCCTCTGAGTCATCTCTCTCAGGCCTCTCAGCCTGGCGTAGAGTTTGAAAGTAGGGAATAGCCCACGGTTTCACCAGTTTCAATAATCTTTTAGACATTTTTGCCCTTTGACTATATTCCTCCATTCCACGTTGCCCATGCCACCGGATGAGAAACCGTTGAGATTCGGTAAAATGACTACGTTGGAGAGTTTTTGCGAGTTTAGTGACCTTTTTGGCCACAAAAAAAGTTTAGTGATCAAAGGATGCCATTTTTAATAGTTTAGTGACCTTTTGGGCCATTCACTCTTTTTAAAAATCTCACAGGAGACTAATATACCCTCCCAATCCCCCCAGTTTATCGATGTGGGAATGTGGGATACGAAACCCAGTAGAAGGCAGTTTTGACACACAAGGTGAAAAGGTAAGTGTTACACTCCCAACCTCCTAAAAGGCTCCGTGTCTTTTTTGTCTAGCACTGTAGACTCTTAACAGTTTATACTAACCTTAATCTCGAACAACCCTTATACTAACCTTAATCTCGAACAACCCTCAAAAGCCACGTTATTTCTCAATCACCACGTTATTGACTAATCGGCATAAACGACGAATACCCAAAAGGGCATTTTCTTTTCCTGTCAATTACTACATTACTCCGTCCATCGGAAAGGGGTGCAAGAATTGCCATTTCAATGTTATAATCGCGTCCAACACAATTGCTTAATAGAAAGTAAATTGCCATTTGGACGTTTGTAATCGGTGGATAATGACAAAACAACCTTCTTTATAAAAAGTAAATTTAACATTCCGACTCTGAATGATGTAGGTTCTCTAGTAGTAGTAGTCTCCACACTCAGAGCAAACAGTCGTTTTTTTTAAAAAAAAAAAAAACAATTTTTATTTAAAAGTGAATTTAACTTTGCGTAAAAATGAAGGAAAAACTCACCTCAACAGGTAGCCCGTGAGAGCTTATCCTCTCTTTATCTTATTGCGCTTTTCAATTGTCAGCGAATCACATCTCATAATTGGAGAGACAATTATAACAAACTCCTAAGACTAACAAGAGATGAGATAGCACAGTGAAAGTGACCTTGAAGGCCTTTTATCCGCTAAAAATGATCGATTAAGAGAGTATGTTGGATCAACAATGATGGAGCTCTCAAGTCGGTTGTTTGCATCAAGTGTCAACTACTAGGTGTTAAAACATACTTATCACTCATTAAACTACTAATCCTCATTAGTATAAAATTTGCATCAAATCCCGCTCAATACCAGAGCCATAGATTCTAGTAATGCTGGAAAAAAGGATTGATCAGGTCAGGAGCCCGTGGAGGCAGGTAGCTTTAACGTTTTCATGGTGGAAAACAGTTGTTGTCCATAAATGCGAGTTGTGTTCATGTAACTAGTTTTGAGCCATCAATGGGTGAGAGCGGCACACAGCCTACAGTTGTGCAGTTCAGGCCCATCAAATTATTTAGCTAGCTAACGTATTAGTGTTTGGATTATGATGAATCTTTACGACGATAATGTGATAAAGATAAACTTCTACAATATGTAGTATGCTGTTTTTTAATATGTAGCATGCTGCATTCAAATCTCAAGCATGACAAATGGAAAAAAAAAAAAAAAAAAGGATGGGTTTGCCTAATAAACTTCAAAAGAGTGTGTTTGGACGGGAGATTATTTGTCCGAATTTATTTGCTTATATCATCATTGCGATTTTCAATATATTTTTTTATTTTTTTAATTATTTATATATATATATATAGTAGTCATTTTGGTGGGGCTGAGAGAGAGAGAGAGGGTGGGGGTGGGAAAGGAGTGTCAAGGAATAAGGACGTGATAATCAACCGTACCAAGACATAACATCTACCAGAATTTTGAGGCAGATTGATGAAGTAATCAAACGACAAGAGTATCCGAATAATAGAGTAAGGGGTCAACACTCCTATCTACAAAATTTGTAGCATGATTTTTGAGAGCTCCTCTTCGATTTGATGCCCATCATTCTCCCTCCCAGACGTCTCTTTTCTTGACAAAATGGCCATATCATGTACATGCCTCTATGTTAAATGCAATTTGGACAGCTACCAATCAGCTGTACAAATAGCTCCTCAAGTTACATGAATCTGCCCACCCGCATTCAAGCCTTTCAATTCCTACTACTACTACTACTTAGGGGGCGTTTGGTTCGCACGTCGGAATCGGATTCGGATTCGGAATCGGAAATGTTGGGTTTGGAATGAGGTCATTCATTCCAATATATTTGTTTGGTTCAAGTACCTGGAATGTGTATCATTACTATAGTTGATGTTTGGTTCGTCGACTCTTTCGGAATGGAATATAATAAATATATTATAAACCACATCGTAAATGATAATTATTGGCTCTTTGTAAATAAGATATAAGAAATTTTCACTAATTAAATATATTAGTATAAATGTATTAGTAAATATATTAGTATAAATGTATTGGTAAATTTAGATAATAATATTATCATTATAAATTTGTAACTAATTCAATTCAATATCATATATATAATTAAATATAAATATATAATTATATAATTATATAATATATACAAATATTAATTATACTAATATTTTATATAAATATAATATATATTACATATTAAATATAGTTATTATTATATATTATTATATTTAAAATAATAATTATTATAATTATATAACTTATTAATATTACATACATGTATATATTATAATTATATGCACATATAATATACATTTATAAATATACATATATATTATAAATATAATATTATATAACATTAATAAATTTATAATATATATTATATAAGTATAATTATATTTAACTAAATAATTATAATATATAATTATATAATACAATAACATCATTATTGTAAGTTTGTAACTAATTAAATTAAATGTTATATATATAATTAATTATAATTATACAAACGCTATAAAATAAATACATAATTATAATTATATAATATATAAATATTAATTGTACTCATATTTTATATAAGTATAATGCATATTAATATTAGATATAGTAATTATTATATATTATTGTATTTAAGATAATAAATATAAATATAAATATAATTATATAATTTAATGTTATATACATGTGTATATTATAATCATATGCACATATAATATGCATTTATAAATATACATATATATTATAAATATATTATTACATAATATTAATAAATTTATATATATATTATATAAATATAATTATATTTAACTGAATAATTATAATATATATTTATATAATGTACTAATATTATAATTATAATATATTATATATATGTACATAATTATAATTATATAATATATAAATATTAATTGTACTCATATTTTATATAAGTATAATGCATATTAATATTAGATATAGTAATTATTATATATTATTGTATTTAAAATAATAAATATAATTATATAATTTATTAATATTATATACATGTGTATATTATAATCATATGCACATATAATATGCATTTATTAAATATACATATATATATTATAAATATATTATTACATAATATTAATATATTTATATATATATTATATAAATATAATATATATTTATATAATGTACTAATATTATAATTATAATATATTATATATATGTATATATTATAATATATAATATATATAAATATTAATTATATCATTGTATAATTATAATATGTAATTGGATTTGTTTCTTGGAATCAAACTTGGGAATCGGACAAAACCCACCAAAATACTAGGGAATGGAGAAACACCAAATTTTTAGAAATCATTCCAAGATTTCAATTCCCATTCCAGTGAACCAAACACCATTTATGGGGTTCATTCCATTCCCCGAATCCGATACCCTCTTACCAAACGCCCCCTTAGTTTCTTGAGTAAGTTGGGAACGAGGTCCACGAATGTGTGCATTGGTTATTTCTAGGTCTCTTTTTTCTTTTTTTTGCTTTACACGCCAAAGTTTAGTTAGGTCGCTTGATATCCTAAGATGTTACGATTAAATTCCGGCAAAGGCCACTCATTGGGCGTGTAGTCTATCAACTATTTATCGAAATTCAAACGCGAAAATTTCAGTTCATTCACATAGATTTTTTAAATAAATATATGTATATATTTTTCTTATTTTTTTAATTTCATATACATCACTTTACAGGAAGCACTGTAACAAAAAATTTACTTGAAAACTGCAATCCAAGCAAAGCCGATTGGAAAAGAGTTGAACCCTGGCACTAACTAAATCATGAGAAAAATGGTAAGTTTGTTTATGGTAATTCTTGAACACAGGCCGCCCGCAGCCATTAATAATACTACGTACCGCCTTCTGCACAAAAACAAATAAGCAACACGTGTGATAATGACACGTCGGTCAGAAGAATTCCTTCGCGACCTAATTTGACGTTGACGAAACATTACGACATCGTCTACTCATACTCAATGCGACGGCCATATTTTAATAGTATTAATGATTCTCTCGGTCCAATTTCTGACCAGTCCCAACTGTTCCAAAACTCAAAATTAAAAATTTTCTTCTACCGATTTTAAGAAAAGTTGCTGACGTGCAAAAATAAGGTCATGGCCTACACCATGGTCGGGTTATCCGCTTGAAAATTATCCGAATAACTGAGATGAAAAATATTTAACAAGCATCAACTGTATGATTTTTTGTAATATACCCCAAGAGAGAATAATAGGTCACCACCACATTTTACCGCACTGTTCTATCTTTCATTCTCAAGACTCGACTTAACTAGTAAAGACGTTAACCAAATACAAGGGAATTTTTTGGACTGAGAAAAAAAAAAGTTGAATCTCTTCTTCAACTTGCGTGTGTCAATGGAAAAAGAGAGAGAGAGAGAGAGAACAAAGATGATTAGTTTCCTAACTTTCATTTCAAACAGTTTAAGTTTAAAATTCAAATTTTGCTCATATGTCATTCATCTAACATCATTATAGTGTCATGCGTATCAATCATCTTAATGAAAAATTGCAATAATCTTTTTAGAGTTAATCTTATATACATTTACAGTGTATATATTGTTATCATTAGATGCATGGCAACTCATCTGAATTTAAAATTCAAATTTTGCCTATGTGTCATGCATATAACCACGACAGTGTATACATTATCTATCATGATTAGATGCATTATAGTATATGAGTAAAATTTGAATTTTAAATTTATATTTAGACAATTTGTCGTGCATCTAATTAATTTATCTTCCCAAGACAAAATTAATTTATCTTCTTAAGAACTATTATGCTCCATGAGAGAGGGGGGCAATGCAATGTAAGATTACCCCGTGCGTTAAGTCACAAACAGTTTGGTTTTTGGTTGTGCATGCGTCAGTCAC